ACATCTTGCGTCACGAGGTAACTCACTGTACATCTTGCGTCACGAGGTAACTCGCTGTACATCTTGCGTCACGAGGTAACTCGCTGTACATCTTGCGTCACGAGGTAACTCGCTGTACATCTTGCGTCACTAACAGTTGTTAACATTGACTCTCTACTGAAACCCAACTGTTGTGTGTGTGTGTGTGTGTACTCACCTAATTGTGGTTTCAGGGGTCGAGACTCAGCTCCTGGCCCCGCCTCTTCACTGATCGCTACTAGGTCCTCTCCCTGCTCCATGAGCTTTATCATACCTCGTCTTAAAGCTACGTATGGTTCCTGCGTCCACTACATCACTTGCCAGACTATTCCACTTCCTGACGACTCTATGACTAAAGAAATACTTCCTAACATCCCTGTGACTCATCTGTGTGTGTGTGTGTGTGTGTGTGTGTGTTGTGTGTGTGTGTGTGTGTGTGTGTGTGTAACATTCATGGATGAGTGTGTGTGTGTGTGTGTGTGTGTGTGTGTGTGTGTGTGTGTGTGTGTGTGTGCGTGCGTGTGTGTGTGTGTAACATTCATGGATGAGTGTGTGTGTAACATTCATGGATGTGTGTGTGTGTGTGTGTGTGTGTGTGTGTGTGTGTGTGTGTGTGTGTGTGTGTAACATTCATGGATGAGTGTGTGTGTGTGTGTGTGTGTGTGTGTAACATTCATGGATTGTGTGTGTGTGTGTGTGTGTAACATTCATGGATGAGTGTGTGTGTGTGTGTGTAACATTCATGGATGAGTGTGTGTGTGTGTGTGTAACATTCATGGATGTGTGTGTGTGTGTGTGTGTGTGTAACATTCATGGATGAGTGTGTGTGTGTGTGTGTGTGTGTGTGTGTGTAACATTCATGGATGAGTGTGTGTGTGTGTGTGTGTGTGTGTGTGTGTAACATTCATGGATGAGTGTGTGTGTGTGTGTAACATTCATGGATGAGTGTGTGTGTGTGTGTGTGTGTGTGTGTGTGTGTGTGTAACATTCATGGATGAGTGTGTGTGTGTGTGTGTGTGTGTGTGTGTGTAACATTCATGGATGAGTGTGTGTGTGTGTGTGTGTGTGTGTGTGTGTGTGTGTGTAACATTCATGGATGAGTGTGTGTGTGTGTGTAACATTCATGGATGAGTGTGTGTGTGTGTGTAACATTCATGGATGAGTTGTGTGTGTGTGTAACATTCATGATGAGTGTGTTGTGTGTGTTGTGTGTGTGTGTGTGTGTAACATTCATGGATGAGTGTGGTGTGTGTGTGTAACATTCATGGATGAGTGTTGTTGTGTGTGTGTGTGTGTGTGTGTGTGTGTAACATTCATGGATGAGGTGTGTGTGTGTGTTTGTGTGTGTGTGTGTGTGTGTGTGTGTGTGTGTGTTGTGTGTGTGTAACATTCATGGATGAGTGTGTGTGTGTGTGTGTGTGTGTGTGTGTGTGTGTGTGTGTGTGTGTGTGTGTGTGTGTGTGTGTGTAACATTCATGGATGAGTGTGTGTGTGTGTGTGTGTGTATGTTGTGTGTGGTGTGGTGTGTGTGTGTGTGTGTGTGTAACATTCATGGATGAGTGTGTGTGTGTGTGTGTAACATTCATGGATGATGTTGTGTGTGTGTGTGTGTGTGTGTGTGTGTGTGTAACATTCATGGATGAGTGTGTGTGTGTGTGTGTGTGTGTAACATTCATGGATGAATGTGTGTGTGTGTGTGTGTGTGTGTGTGTGTGTGGGTGTGTGTAACATTCATGGATGAATGTTGTGTGTGTGTGTGTGTGTGTGTGTGTGTGTAACATTCATGGATGAATTTGTGTGTGTGGTGTGTGTGTGTGTGTGTGTAACATTCATGGATGAATGTGTGTGTGTGTGTGTGTGTGTGTGTGTGTGTGTGTGTGTGTGTGTAACATTCATGGATGAGTGTGTGTGTGTGTGTTGTGTGTGTAACATGTCTGGTGATGTGTGTGTGTGTGTGTGTAGGTGAATGTGTGTGTGTGTGTGTGTGTGTGTAACATTCATGGATGAGTGTGTGTGTGTGTGTAATTATGTGTGGTGTGTGTGTGTGTGTGTGTAACATTCATGGATGAATGTGTGTGTGTGTGTGTGTGTGTGTGTGTGTGTGTGTAACATTCATGGATGAGTGTGTGTGTGTGTGTGTGTAACATTCGTGGATGAATGTGTGTTGTTGTGTGTGTGTGTGTGTGGTAACATTCATGGATGAGTGTGTGGTTGTGTGTGTGTGTGTGTGTGTGTGTGTGTGTGGTGTGTGTGTAACATTCATGGATGAGTGTGTGTGTGTGTGTGTGTAACATTCGTGGATGAATGTGTGTGTGTGTGTGTGTGTGTGTGTGTGTGTGTAACATTCATGGATGAGGTGTGTGTGTGTGTGTGTGTGTGTGTGTGTGTGTGTGTGTGTGTAACATTCTGGATGAGTGTGTGTGTGTGTGTGTAACATTCGTGGATGAATGTGTGTGTGTGTGTGTGTGTGTAACATTCGTGG